TAATGTTAAGTTTACATTGGTTAAGTAATAAACAACCTGACCCAGTGGCGATATAAAACACAGTACAAATATCTGAGCAACAGAATGCTGCATGTGTGAACGGTCCCATTGTTTTCATATTACTTGTTTCCGGTACGTTGCACTACACTGCGCTGACATTATTTTCCACCCTAAGTATGGATTTATTATTTAAAAACACGAGACTTCCAGATTTGTATTAATACGTTTAATAACACGTCATTTTACTAAAAAGAACTATTTTATCTAGAGTACAGTTATAGAGGGAATTGCTAGAAAGGCGTGACGTATTTTGAAACATTAACGGCTAATCGCCATAAATAATATTATTTTAAAAAGAGGAAAAGTAAATTGAATGAAAATGTTTAGTAACCCTTGGCGTTTTTAGCTATAATCTAATAAACTAATATGGTATACTTATGTCAAAAGCCTTGTTATTTGGAAAATAAACATATTTTTTTAGTGAATGGAATTTCCCATCTATTGAATATCCTTTTACCGCCCCAATTTTGACTGAAACCTGAAATGGGTTATTTTAGGGACAACTAAAAAACTTTGAAGCACATAAGAAGTGTAGTAAAGAAGTACACATAGCACATAGAAGTAGTTTAAAAGAATTTCGTTGGAAATTAGAGGTATCAATTTCAACCCATCACAGAATTGCGGACATATTTATTTTTCATGAGCCTGAGAGACCCCATGTAAAAGTTATACACCAATATCCCCTATTAACGTTTTTATAGGTTGTACCAGGGAAACTAAACTCATTATTACTGTAAAAAGAAACTAAATCCTACTTTTCGGTCGGTATGGCAACTTAGCCGGGGCCCCTAACCGGGGTATTATGGGGGTATCTAAACATTTTTTTAAATAAAGCCTCATCAAGTGACACCTCATTTTGAAGGTCATTAGTTTAAAATAATTTGTATGTTTGTGTTTCCATTAGCAGGATAACTAGAGTGAATATCGTCGGATTTTGATGATTTCGGTACAAACATGTAATCCTACATTTATTCTGGCGAGCTTGCGAACCAGTATGATCGGCCTTAATCCCTTAATACCTGCTGTGACGTCGTTGACAAGAATTTCTGGATAGTCTGTGTCAAGAATAAAACTAAAAATAATATGTACACTGTATACAATACTTTAGGCAAGATGTAAACTGAGTACAGTGGTCGATCGAATAGCCAGGCAGGTAGCTGAAGACATCTTTTTGTAATGTTTACTTTCTCTCTTTCTATACACAGACCCATTTATAATAAATTTGGTGTACCAGACTAAGCACTCAATTTTGTTTAACTCTTTAAATAGAACTATACAGACAATGTGGAATACTCATACTTCGTCTAATAAAAGAAGTTTATTATTTTTATGCTTTTAATTTATTTAACGTGATTAAATGTCATTTATATATAAAATATTATAATTCCTAGTCATTGCGGGGAAACGAAGCAAGGCTTTGGTAATTGGCTGAGAGTTTAATCCTTCCATTGTTTCTGGAATAAAACGATTATTATTCGTGATTTGGTTGTTAGTAATTCTCTTTAGTTACGATAAAGTAAATATTAGTAACTACTTTTCCCCGCTTTGCATAGTATATAGAGAAAGTGTATTTTTCGTCGAAATTGTTGAGTTAAAGTTTTGGGTGGATATATCCGTATTTGGTCCCTCTAAACCCAAAAAAAGCAATTATCCAAAGTGTGTGCAGATGTGTCAAGGCTACAGACCAAACCTGAGGTCCGGTTTCGATAAAAAATTTATATGGGTACAGTACTAATCCATAATTTCTCGAGGTAATGCCTCGTAGAAATTTAGATTTTATTGTTGATTTTCCCATAAAACCCATAAGATAACCGGGAAATAGATTTTTCATACAAACTGCCCGAACGGTTTAATTAAAATTTAGCAAGCCTTTTCGTATTAAAAAAAAACTGAACAATCACCATTCTGTAAAAAGATACGGTTCAAAAGTTTTTTTTTTTTACTTTTGTGCGTTTCCACATAAAATATTGTATCGGTAGATACTCCTACGGCAAGCCTATGACGAAGTATGTTGTCAAGGTAATGGTAGAAAGAATGTATCAGATTTTTTATAATGTTTATTGTAATTGTGTACAAGACAAAGGTATCTAGAATGAAACCCTAACGTCTTGGATGAACAGTGAAATCCCTTTCTTTTGCCTGTTTCTAACCCAATCGTAGCACATAGTACAATTAATTGCAAAAAGTGGAGTCTTAGTGCAATGATCTTAGTGCGTTTTATGCAATTTATGATTTTGCTTGCAAGTAAGTTTGTTATTTTATACTATTATTCCAATGGCTTATTTTAAGCATGGATGATTTAGTTGCACTGAAAAAGCAATAAATTGGGTGGATGGAAATAAAACTTAATTGGAAATTATTTCAAACTATGTATGCAATATACAATATTATGTAGTGTCAACTGTGGGGATGGGAGTTGAGAAATATTGCTTTTACATAGAGATGACCAACTAAATAATAGTTGTAACACTAAACTGTACACAATGAAGTCTATGGACCATTAATTTTAATTTTAATCCTTCGGTTTCATATGGATTGTAAATACTTTAGTTATCTAATGGTTGATCTAAATTCTTTTATTAAATATAAGAACTTATATGACTCTAAAATTAGTACATGTTATTTTAACCTTGCTTTAATTTTATATAACTATTATATTTTATATAACTATTATATAAATACCATATAATGGTTCGGATTCCACTATAAACTAACTGTAGGTCCCTTTAGTTGCTATTAGCTGTATGGGCTATTAATTAAACAGCTGTTTCTAAGGAATATATGTCGGCCTTAGTCACTAACAAGACTACAAGATCGCTTCACTCACCTTATACTCATCTCCAATCATACTTAGCTTAAAATACCTACTTTGTATGGTCCCCATTTCATTGAAAGTATTTAAGTACTACAGTTTTCAAATAATTGGCAATAATTAATTGTAACACTAAGGTTTATTATGTTTAAAAATTGAGCAACAAAAATCCTAACATTCCTTACGTTATTAAATGAAAATAAATGGCTTTAATTTATTTGTTTGACTTTGTTTATCCAAGCAAGGGTTCCGTCTCGTTTTACTGATGAATGTGGTTGTTGAAGCCTAATTTACCTGAAGGTGACTTATGCCTACACTCCACGCACGCGAACGACTCACGCTATATTTAACCTACAACGTGGTTTTCTTCAACGATCTTTGACCCTTTACTTCGCATAGTGCGTATAGAAGATACACACTTTTATGAATCCAGGCCATTAAAGTTCAAATAGTATTTATAAACTTCATATTCAGGTTCCCTACATCTTTTTCAATCCACCTAGCCAACGCTCCGCTTCGGCACATGTTATAGGTGATTGTTTTAATTAAACAATTATTTATGACTATTTATTTCTAATATTCTCAATTTTAAAACGAAAAAATTACATCCCCGTTCTAGAAACAATATTGTGAAATAAAAGTTGAAATGTGGTGAGTAGTTTAGACTTAAGAGGAGATTTCCTTTTCAATCTTTTTTTATTTAGTTAAATACATTGATTAAGACCACCAATAAATTTTTAAAATCTCTCACTTGTGTAACAGGACTCACAAAAGAAAGTTTATTGGATAAAAGCAATAAAGGTACAATGCCAATAAGGAGGCGAGTGCTGTGATATTACAAGCCTAGGCTGCTTGTGCCTCAGGCTCAAAACAATCATATCGACATTCTCGGCAGCGTATGTTTGCACTCATGTAAAATTTTACTTCTTTGCGAAATCACTGGTATTACAAAAAGGTATTGAACAAATTCTACATGAAAGGAGTGGAGGTTTTATCAACAATCTCTTCCACGTTTTGCGCAAGTCTTAGGCTTATCTAGCACTTTCAACAATTACCATGTTAAAATTGAACCTAGCTCATACCACTGATATTTCTGGTTAAGTACCGAGGAAAAAACTGAGGTATCTACAAACCAAAACTATCTAGAAATAAATTTACTGTAGGCAACATATTAAACTATAACAATTTCCAACCAAAGAAAGAAATAAGGATACGGGCACAATACACATTTAGGGTAGTTGCATTGACGATTACCGCACTGAAACTGTAGGCTGCAATAATGCAACGTTTAAGGCCTTAAATCCAGTCTTCTTCAAATGTACAGTATTTTGTTAATTGCTATACACCCTGCTATATTTACTTTGCCTTATGTTAGCCTTTTTCACAGCTTTTCTAGATTCCCCTTCGAGTGCAATGTAAATAAAAATATGTAAGTAAAACATTCAATTGTCAGTCTTAGCAAAAGAGCAAATGTATTTAACCTACCTAACAAACCATTTATCTTTCTACAGTTTGAAAAATATATATGTATGTTAAGTTTTGAGAGACTCGTCCTATCAAACAAGTTTCTTGGCAAATATTACCTAAAAATACATTAATATTACATTAATTACTGATGACTTATTACGTACAAAGTAGGATTACATAAACTATGAGGTATATTAAAAAATTATTTTCATTGTTAATGAATGAGCATTTAACTTTTAGTATGTTAGATCTAGTAAATATTTTACGGCCAGTATATTTTTGGATGAAAAAAAATAAACCCCTATATTACTTGCTGGCCTTGCATAAGTTTACTGCATTATTCTGACAGTTGATAAATTAGAACGTATTTCAAAGTTTCGGCAATAGTGTCTAAAGTCTCTCTCTACATTATGTAAGACCGTTCTCTACGAATGTTAGATTCTCTTTTTAAGAATGTTCTCAGCTGAATGTATTCTCTAAATGCACTGAATGTTTTAATCCTTAAATAGTGTCTCGTCTCCATCACCTAGCACTACTATACTTATGTAAACAAATTACTTCTTAAGTACATTAAACAAAAACTACCATGCCAAAGAGGTGAGAGTAATAGAGGGGTCTGGTGTTATTTAAACCTGAGTTAAACTAGAATAAACAACAAAAATAAGTATAGCTTCTTTATTTTAAAGACAGAATATTACAAATATATTTTACTACATCAAACGGATATCTAATATTTACATAAATATACATTAGTATTAAGAGTAGCATAAAGTTTTCATTTTATTCATAACACTAGAAGAAACCTTTATAACTAAAAGTAACAAAAACGTTTGTAAAAAAATCACAAAAATAAACAAAGATGTATTTTAAGTAGTAAACTTATTCTAAGCTTTACTAACAGTTGATCCTACTAATGGAAATCTAAAAACGAGTATAAAACTAAACCACATAATACTATCAGTCAAATTTCTATTTCAATTCTAATTAAACTCAGTCCTCGAAGAACAAGTTTATCACAGTCGCAATAGAAAGCTTAATACTTATAAAATTATAATTTGTATTAAATACCACGTGGCTTGACCAATTAGTTGAGGTTATAAAATAAATGATAGTATACTTGTTGAGTAAAAGATTGTTTTCCGAAACCGCTAAGTGTGTTAGGAACCACTTGTATCTATAAAAGATTATTAGAGTGGCACGAAACTAACACAACTTATGACAGAGTGAAACCTTTTAGTATTTGAGATTAATAGCAACCTTTTCCGATATAGCAACTAGTACCTGATATTTTGGATGGACTCGAACTAAATGCTACACCAGGGAATGTCCTTCCAAAATCTTGTGGAACAAGTTTTCTAATCGTATGAATTTTCATAGCTATTGCTTTTACGAAAGCTGAATAAAATCATTTTAGTTAGTAAAAGAAAATTCGAAAAGCAAATGAAACTAGTCTAAGCCAAATAACATTTTCAGCTGAAAACGCATACGAACTTTGTAAAAGATTTCCAGTTATGATAACTCATATGTTTTCATATATTCCCTTTTCAAATAATCACTGCTTGTACAATCTTTTTATTACAGTACTGGTAACTTACACCTTATTAGTTTTATCAATTATTGTTTGTGTTAGTATTAATTTGAATTTTTTCTTTAATAGCAAAACAATTTCATAGGAGGTCATGCTCATAAGGAAAATGTTTATGTACCCTTGAATTTTAAAGGAATTATCACTATAACTTATATTAATTGTACGCATAATAAATCATAGCTTAACATGAATAGACAAAATAAAGCTTTCATACAAGTAACACTTAAGTAAACTTCACACTTAGATAACAGTTATATATATTAATAAATAAGAGAAAAAATATCGGCTGGTAATAAACATTCTTATCAAGAGACTTCAGAGAATCTACAATAGAAAAAAGAGATTAAATTCAAATATTTAACAGGTAAAAAACTAAAATACTTTCCTACCAGTAGATAGAACTTAGGGCCGTTGAGGTAATGAAGGCTAGCGATCTTCACTCAGGGTGATAAGAGAGGAGGGTCACGTGACAATGGAGGAGAGACTGAAAGCCATTAAGACGAAGAGGCCAGCTGTGAAGGCCGGACATCCAGAGGCCAAAGCAGAAGCCGCAGCGTCTAGACAATGTCTAAACTCCGAGTACTCCACCCTGGTGGTGGCGCAGTAGTGGGTGTGGGTGCACGAGTCGTCACAATGGCCAACTGGTAGTCTCACTGAGTTGGCTTGATAGTACCTGAGAAAACAATAGAAAGTGTACATAAAACGTCACAATGGCCAACTGGTAGTCTCTGATAGTACCTGAGAAAAACAATAAAATTCGTACATAAGACGTCACAATGGCCAACTGGTAGTCATACTGAGTTGGCTTAATAGTACCTGAGAAAACAATAGAATGCGTACATAAGACGTCAAAATGGCCAACTAGTAGTCTCACTGAGTTGGCTTGATAGTACCTGAGAAAACAATAAAATGTGTACATAAGACGTCAAAATGGCCAACTTGTAATCTCACTGAGTTGGCCTAATAGTACCTGATAAAAACAATAAAATGTGTACATAAGACGTCACAATGGCCAAGTATTAGTCTCACTGGGTTGGCTTGATAGTACCTGATAAAAACAATAAAATATGTACATAAGACGTCAAAATGGCCAATTAGTAGTCTCACTGAGTTGGCTTGATGGTACCTGAGAAAACAATAAAATGTGTAGCCTACATAAGACGTCAAAATGGCCAAGTAGTAGTCTCACTGGGTTGGCTTGATAGTACCTGAGAAAAACAATAAAATTCGTACATAAGACGTCACAATGACCAACTGGTAGTTTTACTGAGTTGGCTTGTTGGTACCTGAGAAAAAAATACAAGCCAATACAATACAAGTACCTGAGAAAGCGCATACAAGCCATCACAATGGCTAATCAGCAGTCTCACTGAGCTAGCTTGATAGTACCTACCTAAGAAGCAATGTGTAAATAAGATGCCACAATTGCGAACCGGCAGTCTCACTCAGTTGTCGTGATGGTAAATAAGCAACCCTTTTCATTTGTGTATTTTTCAAAAATTTTCTTTTGGAGTATCTTAAATCAAATTTTTGTTTCACAAAACGGTATGAATCACCGTGGGTTGGCTTCGTCTGTTGCGTGACGTACTTCGGACTATGTCATGAGTTTGGATCCCAGTACCTGCCACTACAAAATTTATCAATAGGCCTTAAGTTTTCTGTACTGTATCAGCTCACCCCTTGTTTGATGATTACGTTCGATTCACAGACTTGAGGTCTATGTAGACGGGCAAATGCAAGGTTAAAAGAGGCTACCAACCTTAAAACCCATCAATTGTCTCCTGCATAGAAGTAGTAATATAGTGCCCAGATATGAAAATCCATATTATTGTTAATTTAATGTTAGCTTAATCTCTTTATAGTCTAGTCAAATGGGTTTTAATAAGGGCTTAAAGTAAAAAGTGTATAGATATTTGTTTTTTAAGGCTGTTATGGATTTATTTTGTAGTGTTGGGTGTGCAGAGTGACGTACTAAAAGTTGGCAAAAATCGGTGCACGGGAAACCCACGCTAAAATATTGAGGCTTTTCCCAATATTGGACAAATTAAAAAAGTACCACACGCATTTGTGTGCGCATTTTTCGAGAAATTGACTTGAGACCACTGACGATATTTATTGGATGCTTAGTTCTTCATTTTGATAGGGAACGCGTTTTCGACCCCATCTTGTTGTGATATATCATTAAAGATTTTTACTCTAATTTCAATGCCGAAAACCGTTTTTAAATATTTTTTTTAAAGATATATTTAAACGAAAACTCTCCACCATACATTGCTTATGGTCGTTTTGAACTTTAAATATTTGTTAAATATAATTTTTATAATATCTCCAGTTATTCTTAACGCTTGCAGTTCGTTCTAGCAGTTATGTCCAGTGATGTAAGGGCGTTCATTTGAGCTATTGATCATTAAAAACGGACTAGTTAGGGACGAGCTACGAAGCCTAACGCAACATTAAATTTAACTTTTTATCAAATCAGTTTTTATTAAAAGATTTATATCTCGAGTGGTTAATACGTCACAAAATTTTTAGTGGTTTAAAATTACTCAGTAAATGTTTTGGATTTAATTTTATTGATCACTAAATGAATTCTGACTAATTAAATTGTGCAATGGACCTTAATTTTACATTACATTATTTTTATTTCTAAATTAGTTCAAAATTACAAGTACAAAATTAAAAGTACAAGTTCAAAATAGTTGATTAGTTTCTAAATTAGTATTTTTATTTCTAAGTTAGTTCTAAATTAGTTAAAGACATATATCCCCAATTCTATATAACTTCCAAAACTCTTTATAGTATTAAATAATTCGTTAAAGCATTGACTTTTATTTTAGCTATAGATTACTTTTTCGATGATATGTTTTCAGATCTTTTTTTACTTTTTAAAATGTTTTCACAATTATTGCCGAAATAAATTTTGTTGGACAACTTCAGAGTAGTGTTCAGCAACCCCAAAAATATAAAGTAAATGTTAAAATGATAAAGTAAGTAAGTGTTAAAAACAATTAAATATAAACTTTCAACTTCAAAATACCTTTTTACATGACTATTTATACGACTTACTTGTCAAAGGCACGCGTGTCGTGTCTGAACGAAGCTGCCAGCTCATGCAGGGACCCAGCTGAGATGTTCGTAAGGCCGTAGTACGAGGTGAAATTATACTCCAACCTCCATTCAGCCTTGCCCCTCTCATTGGCTAGCGACAAATCGAGGTAGAATTGAGTGTAATCCAGCACCTGTAAGTAAACAGATCATCAAACACATTTAATGTCGTCTGACGTATTTTACTATTAAGTATTTTACCTATGACCGTTTTTTAAAGTAGCCTTTTCAGTACAGTTCTTAGAATTGAAACGTATCTGATAACAGCATTTTTTACTTTCATAACAGTCTTACTCAAAACAACACGGGTAACGGAAGTGTTATATACTTAGATGGTAACGGACCAATGAGGTTCAAGGATTGAGAGAGGAGAAGTCAAATTGTAATTATTCGAAATTCTACTAATTAGCTGTTCAGGCCAATTTAATTGTTGATTGTTGCGATTGGTGTTTAACACAATGTTTCCATGCATCACTGTCAGGGGCAATGAGAGGTTATAAACAAAAACATAACCTCTCTTAGAAGCTATTAGTAGTGAATTTTAGTAATTAAAACACTGTCGTAGTCAAAGTAGTGTACGCAACTCGTGTAAATAGTGTTAACGACACTCGTAGAAGTTTCAATTTTTCTACTCGATTGATTAACACTATCTTTACGCAATCTTTGCGTAAACTACTATATAAAGTGCTTTAAACAATTAAAAATATTAATATGATTGTCATGTATGATATCCATGGATGTTTATTTAATCCTTAGTGTATTGTAGCCAAGATATTTGGTTTATAAAATATGCCATACTAAGTAATTTCATTGCATCTACATTAGTGTACAACAATTTGGAAAGACTTACCTGGCCAGTGTCCTTATTAAATTTATAGAGTCGTAGTCCAGGATTGTTGGCGCCACCGTTGGTCCTTCTGGGACTGAGAGAAGGCGCCATCAGCATCCAGGATACAGGTCGAGCTGTGAAAAATTAATTAGATGAATGAGTATCTATACACTTACATATACGAAACTCTCCATAGCTAAATCTTTTTATCTAGCCTTGACGTTATTCTATTCCAACCTAAGACTTATTTTTTACTAAGATGTATGGAAGTTGCTACCTTCAGGCTAGTCATATCTAGATGCCTTACCCAATCGAAAATAAAACCACAAAGTGACATACATATTTATAGGTAGACTTTGGACGATTTCCAAGCTGCTGTTCTTTTCTTAACCAGAATTATTCATTATTTAGGGGTTTCATAAAACTGCACATAAGCAGATTTACACCAAATTTATATTTGTATACCTGGACTTATAGTGCCAAGATATTCTCAGTAATATATTATTGCATCATACCCTTTTCAATCAAAACCATATTTGATTTACTTCATTAGCTCTTTACTTCATATAGATTTTTTTTTTTTAATCAGGCAATTTAAAGTAATACAACAATACGAGATGTTTGTAATTAGGAGTTTATTATTAGTATTAAATTGCGAAGTTATCAGCCCGACGATTTCATAAAGAACGTAAGATTTAGAAATAAGTCAGCACAAAAACATGAAAAGCGGAGAACGAAAGTAACGTAAGCAGTAAAACGCCAATGACCATCCTTCACTGCTTATAACAAAACCATTTAGTCAAGACGTAAACTAATTTTGTGGTCGTAGCGGGAGACGTTTACGGTGGAGAGACCGCTATAACAGTTTTACAATGGGCTTATCCGTGGGTGAAGATGCCAAGTTGCCGCAAGTGCATTAGTCTGATAAGGATTTCACGCTGGAACGGCGACTAAGCTTACTTAGTGTGTTACTGCCTTCCTCCTAATGTGTTGGCTTCGAGGAGCCACCTATATCACCAGGGTTTATCTTCGTACTTCTTATAAAAGTTAAAACATCCATTGGCATTACTGTAACTTATAAATTTCACATCAGATTTATGCTCAACCAACAACATTAGATTTGATTAGAACTTCTTAAAAATTAAATTAAAACTTAGAAACTGTATTTCCATTGTTCGAATAATGAATATAAATTCTAGACAATAGTTCACTTGAACCTGTAGTCTCACCACACTACGCTCTTTTAATGGACTTTCGACGCGTAGATTTAGCCCTGAAATAGCTGTTCGCCGCCTGCAATAAAAAGGGATTGAATGACATACTGTAAGGTAATAAGTTTTGCTTGACACCAGCTAACTAATTTTAGTTATTGAAAACTTCATATAATTTATAAACATAAATGATGGTCTACCTAACAAAATTCACAACAATCTTAATTATAAAGATAAAATCCTACAAAACGTTGATACTAAGTCGCCTAATATTCTAATGGCAGTGGGAGGTTATAAAATTAGCCTGTGTGTAATTTAATGTAACCATTCATAAGAATTTAGTTTTCTGAATGAAAATTTTATCTAAGGCAAGATATAAAGTTTAAAAAGCGTAGTATCTTACGTAAGAAATATTAATAGTAAATGAGATTCACTGGTTGTCTGAGGAACAGAAGATCGCGCCACTCATCCACCACTCATCTCTCTTCATACTTGGCAATACCTACTTTGATGGTCGCCATTTCATTGAAAAGTATTGAAGTATTAAGAAATTATACCGACTGCACAGCAAGATTGAAAGAAGGCTTTGCACTTTAGATTGTGGTGTATTGTGTGACTAAAGTCCACTACATAACTGTCTCGGTTTTCTTAACTACATACCATTTGATCACTTTAAGACCTAATTGGTGCGAAAAAGGATCAATAGCTATGGGCAGCTCAAAAATGTACCACTGACAATCATCCAATAGACTAATGTGAATATTAATGATGCGTGGCTTTATTGGAGGGAGTTGTTAAATACTGATCAACTCTGCTAGATTAGACCCTTAGCTTTATTGGAATGCCTCTGATCACATGTGTTTTAAATGGCGTTAAGGGACAATATAAACATAATATCCTTTTTTATGGTGAGATAAATCAAGAGCTTTATGTGAACTCCGGATCACTAGGTCATGGATTTTTTTCTACAGTAGAAGAGATATTGAAGTAAGTAGATTGATGAAAAAGATCCAAATCCTGTTTGTTTTGCTGGGGTGCCGGGAATCAAACCCACTCCCCCACAACGGAGCCCACTAGGTTAGCAATATTGTTCACATGGCTAAATCTACATGGTTATAGGTGGGAGCCAAGGGCTCAAGGGTTGTTGTGTTCTGCAAAATAATGATATATTTTTGAGAAAATCACTCAAAGTGTCACTTGAACCGATGCGCCCCATTAACATCATTGATTAATTACAACCTTTGTAAGCAAGAAGTAGGCTATTACAGCCATCTGTAAACATCGACATAGCATGTAAAATATACTGCTTCATTGACCAGCCTGCATACAATATAGTTGAGGAACGTTTGTGTTATCTACGTTACGTGTAACATAGAGTGTGTGTGATGTTACCTGCGTGGTTGTAGACGAGTCGGAACGTGTCCGAGTGAAGATGTCCAAAGAACTGGCCAGCGATGATGTCAGAGAACCGCCGCACCAAGGCTAGGTAGCGCCGGGCCGCCTCCTCGCTGAAGTGAGGCATAGTGTCCGGCTGTCGCTCGTCCGGCCCGGGGCCCATGTGTCCTACGATATACACCTACACAAACCCGAGGTTAGTTTATACTTTCATTAATCATATTCCAAGTAGATTTTATATAGCTTTTTAATACATGAAATCAGTGTTTAATGTAATCTTTGTTGGGTACCAGCTCTCCCGTTAGCTATACAAGTATGTAAATTATGTTATAATACAGTTTTGATGGAGCAATTTAGGTTGGTTACTGAAAAAGACCCTTTTAAAATGCTCAGAGTGGCATCTTCTTTATGCATGTTTAATTTAAGATGAAATAGAAATAGAACGAGTCGGATGGTTGACATTTGCACACTCTACTGAATATTGACACAGCTGGGCTGCAATACCTGGAAATAAACTGAGGAGCATTTAAATATTTGTAAAGCTTGGTTTCTTCAAAAAACGTATTGCTTATGTAAATTCACCGTCACACTTGATAATATATTATTTATTTTTATTAGGGTTTTATTTTAATAATATTTAGAAATGGAAATAAATCAAATAATTTATGTATAATGTTTATAATAATATTCATGGATATTTAGAAGTTGATAATAAGTAAAATGATTACCTTTTCTCTGAGTATCTGCGACTTCTCCAGAACCTCTGTAAGCCAATTTAGCTGCACTTCACCTCTTTCTGGGCTTGAGAATAGGTTTGTGTTTAAAGCGATAATACGCAGCTTATGGTCCGCCTGTTCGATAGTGTAGTAACCTCCTGAAACATATGTCAGCGGACTGTGTCTAACAATTACTTACAACTTTAAGATATATTACAAATATTTAGGAATCGGAACAATGGTATAAAAAATACTTTCAAATTACCCTTAGTTTTTGTAAAAAGTGAATACTGTTAGTTTTATCAAATTAATATTTAAATATCTCTTGTGAGTGAATGTTATGTTAATTATTAGGCTTACTTTATAAATTATTGTGTAACATTTTAAAAACTGAACGTGGCATATTTCTGTTTAAAAACAGCTACCCACATACGTGGACAATTTATCTAAAATTATTATAACTATAGTAAACTTGTTTGTCTTTTCTTGGCATGTCAATAAAAATATACGAATAGAAATATTATTTTGAGATCACGTAAGTTGAGGGTTTCCGGTTCCACGTTGATATTGCAGAATAAAGCATAAAACTTCAGAGATTCTCTTGAGAACAAACTTCATAACTTATTCACCTTGACAAAATTGAAAGTTTAACTAGATAAGTTAGTTAGTTTAAAAGTTCACGAAAATGTAAATCGCTAAAGACACTTTTAAGTTACTTTAACGCACTTTGCTTTTGTTTATCTGCCTAAAAAAATACTCTCTTTATTTAAATAATAAACTTGTCAATAATACGCATATTTATAATTTATGTTTAGCACACAGAAATCTTGTCGACCATCTTTAATTCATTAAATGTATTCCTTAAATATAAAAACTTAAAGTATTTATTTTTATTTGTTATAGTCCTTGAAGATAATGTACAAAAATCTGTAATTGTTCTCTAATTTACCATGTAAATTGTACCATACCATATATAACCATGAATCAGCAAACTATTGAAAGGATGAAATAAACTGCACCGTACTATTAGTTATCTATTTATTTCAATTATCACCACAATAGTTTAAGATGGTTTTCCCTTTTTTTTCAACTTAATAACCCTTTTAGGCAGCACTATTTAAATTTCATCATCGAAAAAATTTTTATATTTAATACAAAATGTTTAATAAATACATAAATAATATTTTTATGTTAAAATACTAATAGAAAGATATTAAGAACAAACAAAATTGTATGTAGAAATATTGTTGGACTAGTTTTATTTTACTTCACTCAACGATACATGTCACGCATTACGTAAATTACAAATTATTACTCACAGTTGAGCTTCAATACATAACAGGAAAGGGCAATGACTCAATTCTTTATTCTATATATCAAAACCCTTCCATAAGTAAAGTAATGAACTGCTTAAAAATAAGACAAATACAGAAGAACGACTAATGGCTGTGCCAAAATGAAATATTGCTCAACCTAAAACCATACGTTACAATGATCTTTTGCCTTCTTACATCCAAAGTTGAGTTTTCGGCAACTGATGACGTAACATAACACTTTGAATTGTTTGGGTGAAATTCTAAGAAGTGGATTGTTGTTAGAAGTGATAAAAGGAACATCTGGCCATTCACTTGATTGGGCTTCAGACAGGCTACAACGCCATCACGCCAGCTGAGGCAATGTATTGTAAAGACTGAGACACATGTGTTAGCCATGGATTAGAGGCGTTGTGAAGACGTTCATTGAGTTTGCTTGTTGTACCGTTGTTAATACCTCCTGCGTTTGAAAATAAATAAATTTCTCGATAAAGTAGTTGGGTGAAAAGTGATATTTTATGAATGGCCTTGTTTGAAAATTAAATGAATTTTCATTTTCATTTTGAGGTGATTCTAAAATTATTTCTCACTTTTAAGTGGGTGGAAAAAAATTATTTTTGGCTGTTTTCTCTGTTGTAAAGATTCTTATAGTGTTGGACATAAAATTATAAATTATAATATTCGTCGTGTTTTTGTCCTTTCAAATTCATTACTGTGGACCATTAAATAGACGTGAAATACAATTTAGGGATATTTTAGCATTTTAAAATGTTAAAGCAAACATTTGAATACTGTACTAGCAAACATATATCCCGAAGATATTTTCAAACAAATCTACAAAGGCATGCAAGCAAAGAACGCAGAAATATGCAATTGGCTTACTATAATAAGAATAATGTTTAAGGATAACTAACAGGCTCTGACAGCTTTGGAAATAAATTAAAATTACTTTGAACGATGAATGAACTCTTTTAAAATAAATTATTGTTTCAAAACTCACTGACGAAAACAGATCATTCCATACGTACAAATTGTTTGTTAGTTAAAAACATACTGAAAGTAAAGTAATTAATCGACATTAACTACCTTTGTTGAAAGTCTGCAGTGCCTCGGTTGGCAGCCACTGTTGCCAGAAAGATGCCAGCTCATGGTAGCTGAGACGCTCCCCCAGGTTCCCCCCAGGGTCGTCATGTCCCAAGGCGGGGAACACGAACTGTGAGGGAAACGTCAGACTGAACAGATGAGTGAGGTTCTGCAGCGCTGCCACCTGCTTCTCTGACGACCTGCTGCTTGACATCACCGACAGACCGTCCCTGCAGCAACAGAAAAACTGAAAATTAGCTCTCGTAGAGATCATAGACATTAGTTATGCTTATATGAACAGATGAGTGAGATTCTGCAGCGCTGCCACCTGCTTCTCTGACGACCTGCTGCTTGACATCACCGACAGACCGTCCCTGCATCAACAGAAAAACTGAAAATTAGCTCTCGTAGAGATCATAGACATTAGTTATGCTTAGATGAACAGATGAGTGAGGTTCTGCAGCACTGCCACCTGCTTCTCTGACGACCTGCTGCTTGACATCACCGACAGACCGTCCCTGCATCAACAGAAAAACTTAAAATTAGCTCTCGTAAAGATCCTTGGTGTAGTCAAATCGGTCAATAATCAATCTAGTGGGTTGATTGTGCAGTTAAAGTGTAGCACATTTTGACTTCTGATTTTTCTCAGTTATTTTTTTTATTTCGGTTAAATTAAATTTTATTTATTCTTAATGTGTCTAAGTGCGTATTGCTGTTATGCTGTAAAAATTTGTATCTTAATTTTTCATGTTTTGAAAGTATATAATTAAGTTACTAACTTTTTTGCAAATAATGTATAGTTCCTGAGGATAATACTATAAAACTATTCAACACCTTTGATAAGGCACCGAACTTATAATCTATCTTTACAGTAATATTGGAAAACTTGGTCACTAAGTTCCTTGTCCTGATGAAATGGCAATCAACACTACAGGGTGATACATATTTTGCAGTTTGTTGCACATTACCCAGTCCAGAGTACGAACTCGACGTCCTCGGCGCTGCGAGTCTTCATCAGCTTCGCCGCCGAGTGTACAAGGGACCACGGCGAGTCGCAGCTGTAGTGGCCAAACTTGCCCACCGTGTCTCGGCCGCCGCCACGCGAGTGCCAGCAGTCTGGGCATCACTCACTGTTAGTAGGGCTTTGCACATTGGAAATGTAGAAGGGCCTTACACATTACGTTTAGAAGTGTTTTACACATTGCACGTAAAGTAATTTAAATTTTACGTGCAGTAGTAGAAACTAATTGAGTGCTGTATAAAACTATTAATACAGAAGCCCAAAGAAAGCCATTACCATAAATAAAAAATAAAAAAGTATTTATTTTTAGTCCTTTGATAAGATTTTATTGACAAACCGTTTTATTGCACAGTGTTTTCTCATTAATTGTATTACCTTTTATTTCAATGCGATTCCATGTAGCAATTCAAAAGGTAATCTCACATCAGTTAAAGAGATTAAGTAATTTCAGAAGCTAACTCAAGCGTTTTAAATCAACTACTATTCCTATCCATAGAAAATGGCACAGAAAAAGTTTATTTGAAGATATTTAAGAAAATAACTTTAAAAAAATGTACACTGGTTAAAAAAGTTAATGGAAACATGGCGCACAAGCCCCTTCCTGTTACTTTTTTACAATAAGACAAAATAATAATAATACAAAAGCTATTTCATTTTTTAAATATTTTACTTGTAGTATATTTGACTTAAAATTTTTTATTTTTGATGGTTACACAAACAATTTTATATGACGTTTGTACAGCCTTAAAAATATGTTTAAAAACCTCTTTGTTATATTAAAAAATGCAACCTAATAATCTTGTTTGAATTTTGTTATAAATTTAATCAGCCTTGAAAAATCTTACTTCTAAAGATGATAATATAACTAATAGGTTTTGTCAAATCAACTAATGTAATAAAAATGATGGGGTGTCTTAAAAGCTTTAGCTGTCAAAACCATGGCTAAAGCAAATACTTACTTTTTCTCGGGTCGCCCTTTTCAGAATAGTCAACGTCTAAGTGAATATCAGTGATGTGCCAGAAGTAACCTGAAACATCAATGCTGTCAAGAAGGCTCAATACTACACTTTAGAATATCTACAACACATATTAAATAACAAACATGCTGCTTGTAAGAGTAAGAGAGCCTAACGTGCGTATTACTATAAATGATATCACCCCGTATTTGTCAAATAATGTGGGTCAATCGGCAACAAACAATTTTTACTTTACTTTGCATTATTTAATCTAAAGTGTTTTTATTTCAAACGAATGCCCTCGTTTGCTTTATAAGACAACTTCATTAACGTTATTGCAGCTTTTAATCAGAGAGGGCTAGGTTTTTCATGTGCTCGAATGAGAAGTTAATTTTCCACTATAACAACTATGCAATAGTTTACTTTGGTACATCTAGCCTAGTCGTTCTTGGAGCTTTTTTATTACTTTTACTTTTTTTTAGGTACTCATTTCATTTTTGTGTTATATTCATAGTCGCCAGCCTAATTAAATGTCAACTAGTGGGTGATACATTTAAATATATATGTTAACCACTATTGTTGTCTTCCTTTTCAATTCTTTAACTAGTGTAGGTTTTTTTGTTGTATTCTTAAAAACATGTTCTTTAATTTCTGAAAATACAGTTGAGCAACAAGAATTAAATTTGTTTTATTAATAATTCATATTTCTGGTATTGTCCTGTATTAAATTGATTTTTGAGTGATCTAGTAATAAATTGTGCATAAATCGTAATATACCAACTACACTGAAATTAAGTATGATGGCATCGTCTGTTTACGTACCATCATGAAAGTGCCAAATGTGTCCTAAAGCCGAACTTAGTCTATAGTACTTAGACGAAAGCAGCAAAACTGGAATATTTAAGTCTCCCGATTTAGGGTTGGGATGTGTATGAACAGTAACAGTGCGCTTAATTTCGTGAAAATATCGTGGATGGATTGAAGAATATAATTATCGAAATGTAGTTGAGTTAGCTACAGAAATGTCGAGCTCTGCCGGTTATAACCGTTGAAGGTTTGAAAGTTTGTCGGGGATGGCGGACGGTGGTCAGTTTATTAGTTGGTTTTGAATGCCCTCGTTACCCGCCTTCAACGTCCGGCGTCACCTAGTGCGGCTATTGAACGTCCGGCCACCAATCAAAACTCCGCACTCTCCCTTACAACTACCTGCAAACTGTGCTGCGTTATATCTGGAACCAGTGATATTACTGCTGGGAAAATCAAGACAAAGGATATATCCCAAAATGTGGCCAGGAATTTATTTATATGGTAGTTTCACTTGTGATAATTTGTGTAAATGCATCCATCCACCGTTGTCTAACTCATAAGATTGAGAAAAGGTGTATAGTCGCAAGATCGTCAACAGGTGGTGTAGTTAAGGAAAAAACAGGATGTTTGACCTTTAAAATGTTGCTAAATCGGTCCATACAAAATCCCTTTTGGAATATAGACACACATGTCTGTTATACCGATAACACCAGGTTGGGTAACCAATGGAAGTAAATGATTTTTTAAATAAACCAATAACATAAACCAATGGGTGGATGCTTCTACTGTAGGTATCAAAAGAGGCGACTCTCAAACCGATTATGATTTTCATAACCAGTGCCAAAACAGACAAAACGATTACTTAACCTTATGTGGTTAGAATAGCAGGAAAGTATTTACAAAAGTCTTGTCACAGCTATTGTTGTTTAAGTAATTGTTTTGTGACAGGGTAAAAAGAATAACTTGTCTTTGTAACATCAGATAAGGTTCTAGTCCCTTTTACACTCACCTTAAATCCATATTTAGTTCAAAACTAGTTTTAAAATTGCTCGCCATGAATGTGCATATCTACTTATAATATATTAATAATGATTAAAATTATATGAGGTCACCAGGTTTACTATATTCAGTTTAGTGCAATGGTCTCCTCTTTAAAGGGTTTCAGGGAAATAAAACAGTCATTAATTCACTCATCTTACTAGAGTAGGCTAATGTGCACTAAAGATCGCAGTCAAAACATTGCAGCAGAGCATTACACGGATTTGATTTGCACAATAGCAAAAGCTTCATAAACATTTTATCTCTCGAGTGGCAATACGAGCCCAACTAATATGGTTCAAAGAATGTTTTACACCGATAAACCCACGTACTTTTGTTGGATTTAATTTGCATGAACGTAAAAAGAATTGTGTAATTTAAATTACAGCATTACCATCATGTCGCCAATTAGTTTATTGAATAATAACATTTCCGATGCTGATAATATGGGTCGGTTATTTGTTTTGTTCGTTAATTAAAAATTTTAATTTGATATGCAATTGTTTATACCTATAAATTGTTTTCAAAATGTTTGATTCAATTTACATTTTTTGTGGTGTTTATTCAGCAAAACCAATTTCTTATCTAGTGTTAAAACATACTATTTTTCGTGTGTTTTCAATGCATCTTGTATTTATTAAAACAACCATGGCGTTATATTTAAAATCAGTAAAATTTTGTTTATTTTGTTAGTTAATCTGTAATTTATGGTTGGTGATGTGACAGATTAGCGTTCACATGAGTAGCTAGGCTACTTAATTGTCATAGTCATGATAACAAAGTCAAAGGTAAACCAGATTCAATAATGGTTTATTTTTGACTTACTGATTTTTGCAGCTGCGCTTGCTAGTAGGACAACCTGGAGAATGCACCTCACACACACCATCCCAGAATCTGGAAAAAGAAATGTTGGGTGAATTAATAAAATATAATGATAATCTATTAACAGTTAAACTTTTACATATATAAAACTGTGCAAATAGTTTATTTGATGAACACTTTACGAAATTGATTTAATCCATCTTGCGTACATAAAACATAAAAGTAAGTGCTATGTGAGTTGGCTAGTTGCAAAAATAAACTAATGCAAATGTTGGTGGTACCAGCATAGTGTTCTAGGTACTGTATTCGTTCTAGAATTTGGTAAAATCTACTTTCAAAGAATAAATTAAAACTAACCATTCCGATTACTTACTTAAATTCTATCACCCATCGTGATACTCGTACGAAACTCCTTTTATTTTGTTTAATTTATTTCAGTTAAACAGAAATGATTTGTATCAAATATTTACACTGCATACTTTTCAGCTTAATTAAGTTTGTATCATAATTTACTATTACCAAAATAAAATTAATCAAGGGATAGGGCATTGAGATGAAAGACACTCCTTGGCAAAAGAACAGGGAGAATACAATTTTAAATATTCATACCTCATATAGTATAACAAAATTAATTCATCATTTGACAGTTATATCTTAAGTGGCTTATCTTAAAATGTCACACTGACAATGATGGAACGCTTTCCAATATTTCCATCTTTCTTGCAGTATATGCAAACGATCAACTTGCGCCATTGATTCAAAGTAAATGCACGTAAAAGTAAGTAGTGGTGTAAATTATGTATGTCTTTAGTTATATTGAACTTTATTGGAATAAACATGATTAAACAGTCGTTACTAACTTTATGGAACCATACAAACAATTTATGTAAAGCACATTATTAACAAGGTACGAGCCCAGAAGTTAGTACTGCCAATAATTTAGCAATTTAAGTGTATAAGAGATTTAACTAAAATGTTAATTTCTTTGACATTTTATTTTTTTTATTTTTTTATTTTCGTATTATCATGTAGATATTAAAACTATTCACATGCTAGAGTGCTAAGATTATGATTACACTTAATACGTTATTATTAACACTTAATACTCCAGGCATGTGTTAAATTATTTGTATGTTTTCCTCCAATTTAAAGCTTGAATTTAATAACAATGTAAACATTTGTAAGTAATGGTAACAGTGTATTCATCAACAGTATACTAAAAATACTAATACAAAACATGGCATAGTGGAAATTCTATAACTGGGTTGTTACATTGTTTGTACTGGTTGAATAGTTTTCTTTCAAAATTGTAAGCCAAAAACGTATTACGACAAAAGATACGTTTTGCATTCAAATTACATGTTTCTTGCTTACGCCCGGCAGAAAACAACTATGCAAATGAGGAGCTTTTTATCTCGTCTTCAAGAGGAGGCGCTACCGAGAGCAAGTAGTCCCATCCGTTTGTTTAAACTGAGCAGCAAACAACAAGATTTACTGCATGGAAATAACATTAATTATAACAGAACTAACCTTTAAAATAAAATACACTTTCAGTATAATTTTTTTTATAAAACTGTTTCTTAGTTTTTATTGTTCTTGGTTATTCTTAGTTTTTATTATTCTTGGTACTTTTTTTCGTCTATATTTTATCCACAATAAACTTTGAAAATCTACTAACAGTATAAATGACTTATTTACAGTTAAGAAAATACAAAAAAATTGTATTAACATTTTTTAAGTTTAATTAAGACAGTAAAACAGTACTACGAGCTTTGTAATTTCTCAATTCATCTAGCTTTTTTCTAACTGTTTTTAACTTTATCAAACTATCCTAAACAGTAACAACATAGTTTATATTATGTTAACATCATGTTGTATGTTTATGTTAACAAAATACAACTTTGTTTGTTTTATAGTGTTATATCACTATGTGTATATCATCAGTTCATATAAGTTCATAGTCTTATCTCATTCGTAGTCAAATAAAATTTATTAATTTATTAAGTTATTCACAGTACTTCTTGTACCCCATAAGTAGTAGCCAAACACGGGGGTGATCCCGTGACGTCATAATTAGGTAATTGGTAAGTATTTTGTGATTGTGGAGCAGCGTGAATTACGCAGCGACTCTGGCGATGTATGTTGTGGATTGGTTGGTATTGTTATTAGGTCAAGGTCATCTGAATCTGTTTTTAAAAAATATTCTGCACTAATGGATAAATAGTGCAGAATATTTTTTATTTTATTTATTCATTTATTTTTTTTACAATCAACAATAGTAATAATAATGTAAAGTAGTTAAATCTAAGTTAAATCTAAGAAGTGTTGGAATCGTTCTTCGTCGTAGAGCTGCTGCTTCCATATATGTTGAATGCTGAATGGTCGGTTTCAAATTTTCTTCGATTGGGGCATGGTGGTTTGTAAGCTCCGTAGTCTGGAAGCAGAGTGCTGTTGGCTGTTGTTGTTACTGTAACTGCATACCCACTTGCAAGTAGAACTCTCAACTCTTCAGCAAAAACATCTATATCATGGTAGGTTGAAAGTTGAACATCGTCGTACTGGACAAACTTCACCTTGAGAGACATAATTGTTGTATTGAGCTGAAGTTGCCTCTAGGAAGTCCGCAGAACGATTGAAGGCATAGGACTATCTTCTTGTATTTATAGGTAAAGTCCATCCCACCCCCTCCTAGCTACCCCCACCACTAATCTTTTTAAAGGGCCTCGTATTACACCATAAATATTTTCATCACAGAAATAATAGGGGTTCTACAATAAACGCAATTGTCAACACTTAGGCCGCACATGATGCAGCTGCAAAAATGTTTGCAAGGTAAAAACACAATTTCCCTCTCTGCGGACAAACATACTATGCACTCCGATCCTTGTTTTTGCACAGGTTCGTTTGTTCCTACGCCTTTGGTTGAGCTTCTCTTTTTAACTATCACATTTTTATTTATTCGCTTGGAATATTTGTTCACAAAGTCTTGCCCCTTGTTAACAACCACAAAGGGGCATCTTGGAAACCATCGTGCATGTTCTTGCCACGGATCATCTTCTTCTTGCCAATCCTTTAATCCTCCTCCACAGTAGTAACATATAGTTTCATCATTCTTCCCAGTGTAAAAAAACCCTGCTTCGGATAATTCCCATTTGGAATTGTTTACGACAGAGTTATGTAAACTTTTTTCAAAAGAATTTAGCCTAGTTTGAAAGTGAGTATAGTTCGGAAAGGCAATTTTAATCTTCAAAATGGTTGCGGACATATTAAGAGAGTAGATGGCTCGCTGCAATCCAAATGATTAAAACCCAACTGTTAGCAACGTTTTATACGCAAAGAAGATGGGTGGGGGTTAGCTAGTTTGTAATCGATTGTAAAAATGTTGTTTCTGATTTAGGTCAAGGTCATCCATATCAGTTTTTAAAAAATATCATGTTAGTATTTTAGACAAAATACTAACATGATAATTTATAATATTTTATTTATATACAATCATTTGTACAATATTCTTATTCTAACAACAGTGCAAAGAGAGTTCTGTAGAGTTGTTCCCACTAACTCCATGAGATACCAAATAGAGAGAGCCCGGTTCGATGCTGCGTAGATCCTCATTTTGTAACATGCTGACAAACCGTTTTGGAAGAAACATTTGGAACTTTGGTTCATCTCCTGGAGTAAAAGGTGCATCGCTTAAGGAGACTAGAATAGCGTCCCCAATAGATGTTTCCATTTTCTTCATTCTATGCACAATATAATGTTTTAGTTCCTTAAGTTCTGAACACTTTTTAGTAATTAAAACACTTGACTTTGAATGAGTGTTGAACTGATCAACAAGGTTCTGGAGTTGAGATGCCATCTTTATTGGTCAAGCTGTAGGTGTTTTCCTGTCCTAGGTTGGAACAATACTGATGTGTTGTCTGCACACTTTCCTCATATTTATACCCATCGATTCCCCCACTACCGCAGCTCTCCTTTTGGTTTAGGAATGATGCTATACGGTATGCATTTTTTAAAGCACATTGACCTTGACGATGACATTTGTTTTTGCCTGCAAGACAAATACCGTCATAACACACTTTAAAATTTGAGTCAATCGTTACATCAATCACGTTACCAATGGTATATTTTTGAATCCAGCTTCGTTTTTCCAAACCTTTAGTGTAAATACGGTTGAATTTCGCACAAAAGTGATACATTACATCATCTACAGTGTTGTAATCTAAAAATCCTTCATTCCATGCAATGTGATGAAAATTCCTAGTAACCCACTTATTAGTTAACTTGGCTTTAGAATTTAGTTTTTTAAAAGAATGTGGTGGTTTAAACATAAAGGGATAGACAACGTACGTTAATAAATCTAAAATTACTAACTCCTTAACAACATATTCATTTGTATTTCCACGAAAAGCTTGGAACTCAATCACACAGGGTTTCTCTTCTATTGTTTTAACTTTGTCTGAGAACCATACCCTCTGCTCCATGGTAAGAATGTTAAGTAACTGATTTCCACACCACGGTAGGTTTTATATTTATACCAGGCCGTACAGTTAAGGCGCGTTGATGTATATTTAACGTGGGCATCATCCCCAAGTAGGCCTACCCCACGAGTTTAAATTAGTTTTTTTTTATTTCAAACTAAAACACACTTAGATTGGCTGTGTTTCTTCAATATTTTCTTTTACGTCATCCGTTGTAGTCTTATTGATCTCGTAGTCTTTTATACTCCGCCACATTTCAACCTTATAGGGGATTCGATTAAAAATTGATGTATCGATCGGTCCGTGTAGAATCTGGGAGTCAGGGTATTGATCCATAGCATCCACTAAATATTCTTTTATTACAGAGCTTGAAAATGTTAGTTGTTTCATGTATCTAGTTACAGGTGAAGCGGCACAACCCAAAACATAAAATTCTTCTCTTGTTAGTTGAATCTTAATATCGTGTTTTGATAGGTCTCTGAAACGTATTTGCTGTCCTCCACGATACTTATAAATATCTATTTCTATGTCACAATCCAATAACCGAACAGCCGTTTTTTTACCAAACATGTTTTTAGCCAAATAACATTCGAT